AAGGTAATAAATGTTTTCAATTACCAAACTGGGGTTTCAATCATTGTAATTTGTAAACCATTTCTTCCTTTGTTATAAGATGTGTTGCTTTATTGACCAGCTGCATTAGAGAGTTTATATTCATGGCCCAGTCATTTAGAATGTCATTAGGATCCTTGGCAGAGACGAAGTGGACTATACCAGCAAGGCGGTCTATTTTGGCTTGAACAGTTTTGTTCACCACTAAATTGGACAAAAACTCTTCAGTTTCCTAAAAAGTAAAAAATTAGAAGTAATGTTAATGTTTGTAAAAAAAAAAAGTTTCATTCATAAGATGGTTTACAGTTCTGTTTACCAACAGTGATCTGAAATAACCTTGAAGTCGTATGAATAATATATTTCATGGATCCAGTGATGTTTAAATCAAGAAAAACATGAAAACTATAAAATAAACTAATGCACAAATTTAGTAATTCATATGGAAATGCCATCTTTGCACTTGCAAAAATCTATGAAATCTTAATTTAAATATGACGAGTAAAAAAGTAAAGCCTAGATTTAATCCAAAACTTACGGCTTCAGTAAGATCCAATAACTCTGCCATTCGCTTCATATTTATTCTTGTGTAATACTTTGCCATCACGCGAATGTTCTGAAACACAAACAAAATTCTGAAATTAAACAATTTCTATAGGGAATGTCATCTACTTACTGACAAATATTATTTCATCTCTAATGTAATCTTCATGAAGTACTCTGACAGAAAATAGTGAATATCAACTTTAAAGGACCTCAAAAGTTCATTGAACACAAAAATGTATCATAAAAAATATAGAAAGAATATCAGAAACTTAATGGTAGACAAATACAGCATTGAGGTAGTAATAAAGAACATTTAACTGCTTTCCACACTATATGCCATATACTATTTACAGACACTCGTAATGCAGTCTGGGCTTCATTTTCAAGAAAATAAAATATATCAGAGAAAAATAAATTTTCATAAAAAAAAATATCAAAAAGTCTTAATCAAGGTTTAATACAATGACCATGATATCACAAATACTCACATGCTCTACCACTCGTTTCTTGAGATCATCCCATCTTTTTACACCAGCTTCTGTGTTGGTATTGAAGACATCTGTAGCTGTGCTCCCTGGGGATCCAAACTTCAGTTCACCCTCAAATGCTGCACAAAGCTGTCTCCAGTTCATTATCTCAGGAGTAGTGAAATTCTTCAACAGTTCCCTGCACAAAGATTTGATGAAAACATCAAGCCAAATACTTCATACTATAAAACAATCATGTTACTCACTACACATAACTTCATGATAAGACCAAAAATATGACAGCAACATGTCTTGGGTATATATATTTGGGTATATATGTTACTAATAGTATCCATAATCAACAATCTGACTTACGTAGTATACAATTTATTTATGATCAACCTTGATTAAGTATCAATTCAAAACCATCTTGCTTTTACCAGTTGAGCTTCTTACCTATATTTTGGAATCTCTTCCAGATTTTTATCCTCATAAACTCTGAAGGTGTAGTCAGATTGTTCATTATCATATGGAGCTAGTACAAGGTACAGGACCACACATTTCAGGGCCTGGGGATAACAAAAGAGCAAACTTATGATTATCAACTCATTAGGTGTTGGAGATATAAAAAATATCCCTTCTGTTTCAGAATCATAAATGGGAGATATTAAGCAGTAAAAAATAGCAAAACATTCCCTCATAAAAATGTGTATCTCTTTAGATAGTATTAGAGTATCAATTTAAAATATAATGATTAGTGACTGATTTTGTAACCCTTCTTAGAAATCTATGTCTTTTAATACTATATTTACCTGGATGGGCAAACCAGGAATAGTTATCTTTTTCCCTTTTAACAAGTCAAACAAGAAATGGTTCTAATAAATAATCATATGGATATGTCAAGTTTCAAAACATTTTTCATTGATACACTTACCTCTTTCATCTTTTCTTTATCTTCTTTAATGCTTGGGGTATCATAAATAGCTCTGAAATGTTTGCATGTAGCAAGATAGGACCCCTCGTGCTGATCTACAGCTATCATAAGTTGGTAGTACTTCAACTTCAGTTCCTACAATGGATACAGCGGAGTATTTAACTTGATTTTGCTACTCTCATAACTATAAACACATTCACTTGAGAAATTTGCAGATGAACATCTATCATCACTTGAGAAATTTGCAGATGAACATCTATCAATGCTGATGAGTTATAACTTCTTTATTTCTCATTACAAACGAAAGCAAAAGTGATGGAATAAACAACAGAAATAAAACCTAGATATCAGTATAACTTGTCTATGTTTTATAAAAATAATGATATCACAATATTGACAGATTTAAACAATATTACCAACCTAAAAAAGTACCTACCTCCATTCCTTCTTCATCAAAGATCTTTGTGGCAATCTTTTTGCTTATAATCTGTGTTCTAATATAGTCCTTTTTAGCCAAACATAACCTCATCTGTTCAAGGATAAACTCCACTTTCTCTCTCTTCTCCATGGAACCAAATGTTTCCACCTATAATAAGAAAAATAAGCTTGTATTACTGTTGTTAATTCAGCCAGTATGTATAAGATTAAAAAGTAAGGTCAGTCTGCTTCCCATAGTGGTGAAACCTGCAAGAGAGGCGCTTATCCCTGGTTTCTGGAGTATTAAGATATTTCTGTTTCACAAATTACTTCCCAACAAACTGTGTTGGTGCAAATATTCAGAAAAAAATTAAACATAATATTTCATAATCTGTAGTTTATAATTAAACAAATGGTTGTTATCCTAAGCTTTTAGAAGTTTGTTTACATCTATATTTCTGTTGACAAGCTTACCTGCAATTCCTGGAGAATACTTGCAGCTTCTGTAATGTTTCCTTCATCTTCTTTTATCTTGGCAAGTGTTCTTGTTAGTCTGGCTCTTTCAATTTCTACATATATCTACACAAGTAAATCAACAAATCATTAAAACAAAATCTCGTGAAATAAAATGAAAAAATGACATAAAAAGAAATCATTTTATGGCATTCTAGTGAAGTCCCAATGAAGTCGGACATTTATTGAAAGACAGAAGTAGGTTTTATTAGCCAGAAATAGCATAAGATGTTTCAGATTATATTAATGATTGGCTGAGGTGTTGAGCTCAAAACACAAACTTCAGATTGTGGAGAGCTTTGCTCTGTTTCTTCTTCTTTTTAACAAGAACTTGTCTGCGTCAGTCAGCAAGAACTACTGGGAAAACTACTATGAGCTTTTCAATAATTTCAATCTTACTTTGCCAGCTGTAACAGTCCTTAATGTATCAATAAGTTTAAGCTTGGTCTCCATATCAGGGGTCTGTTCAACATAACTGCAGGCCTCTTGAACCATCTTAGTCACAGCCTGAAATATAAAACCCAACATTTTCTTAATAGTCATGAATATAAACATTACCAATGTTGTAAAATGTGATTATTTACAATGAGCCATGTTACATAATTCTTGGCACCATCCTTAATTACATCAAGGCAATTACTACAATCTTTTACAGGCAATTAAGCATAAATCAAACCAAAGGTTTTATTAAGAGCAAGAACAGTATTACTAGTAACTGCATCTCTTTGTGCAGTATATTTCATGTATGTTTTTTTTTCTTTATAATGTTAATCTTTTACTTACCTGTTTCATTTGTCCCCGCTTTTTTGTTAACAACACAATATTTTCATTTAGGGCACTCCAGTCTTTCTGATCAAAACACATCTTTACAATGCCAACCAAAATCTTGGCAGTTGAATGATAATCAGCAGCCTAAAATAGTTCCAAAATAAAATGAGCACACAGAAAAAAAAATGGGAGAGAAGCCACTATTTCATTCATAGTTCTTTACAGAAATAACTATCTGTATTCTAAAAAATATGATGTTTATTATATTAAAACAATTATCACAATAATTATTATTATCATTATTACTAAATGAGTGCAACTGACAAATAACACTCACTGTCCTTGTCATTTTCTCTAGTCCAAGAAGTATATCTATGGCTTCAGTTAACTTCCCTGCCTGAAATATATAATGCAATTATGGATCTATTGGCATTGTACTAATTTCACAAAATGACTGAAAAACAATATTCAGTTGCATTCCAAAAGCACAGGAAACATATAATTACTTCTAACAGACCTGACAACCAATAAAATAACACACATACAAACACACACACACACACACACACATAAATTATGCCAAAAGAGGTACATCTGTTTACAAATAATTAAAATCAGCAAATTTGTAAGTTTTTTCTACACATATTTAAATAATATTAATAAAAGAATTTAGAAACAACTATAACTATTAATACTATATAATATAATATATTTATATATTTTATATAATAGAGTAGTAAAAACAAGAGGTTGACATTGGGAATGCTTTTGATCTTGCTCTCCAAATACACAGTTGTGCAAATAGCCAGTTTCCACAATGATAAAGTTCCATCAAGATTTTACCATCATATCTCCGAAATATGCGTTTTTTAAAAATACAAATGATTATTTTGGTATCTCTTTTGGAACAAAGTTTTAATTAAAATTTCATTATGATTTGACAGTTATCAGTAGAATACACACTTCTGAGGCATTCCTATTTGGCACTTTACATGTTTTGGTAAAAATACAGATAATCTAACTTTGAACAGTAGCCATTATCACAGTTCACTAAAATTTCAATTCAATGAGTGATGCCATGAAGAGTGACTTGCTTTTTTGGAAGCCTTAACAAAGAGGTAACAACCAACCGTAAAATGACACATTTCATAAAAACGTGAACGCTGAAATTGTGTCATTGGCCGCAAGTTCCTAACCTTTGCGAGTTTTTCACACTCGGGAAGTTTTTGCTCCACAGTGGAGCTGTAATCAACTTCCATCTTCTGGATACGTCCATCGCCGGTGTCCGCCATGTTGTCTGTGTTAGAAACGATCTCCAATGTAAAGTCTCATTCTCAGTACCTTTGATCCTGGTACGTTTTACTAAGAACGAGGTTATAAACATAATTTAATTTATATTTTAACTACTCTTTTGATTACATCAACAGAGACGATACTAAAACCATAAGATATATTTTATCAACTTGAAAAATTACATACTTATTTGAGTACATTGTAAAACTCATGCTCGCGAGAAATTTTTGACCTTTACCTTTGACCTTGACCTCTGGTATTGATATCCTGAACACATGCCACACGCGAGTGTGGTTGTAGATAGAAGTTTGCTTTCAGAGAGACTAAACAGTGAGAGATGTTACTGAAAGAGTACCGAGTATGTATGCCACTCACCGTGGAAGAGGTATGTCTTTACAAATGGTCAAAAATGCATTGTAAATGCCGTTGTTATGTTGCAAATCGGTACACTCAAAGCACAGGACATCAAGTTGTACCGTAATTTGTGCTGGACATTGCATGATGTCCATTGGCATTGTCAACATAATAACTTTCATCAAGTCACAATTACACTGCTACGTTAATGATCAGATAATAGAGCAATCATTTTACCCAAAATTATAAATTACTCAAACTTTTATATTTAAAAAATTGGATATCATAGTACTGATAGTACTGTAGATATCTTGTTCAAAAATATGTAGATTTTTAGTTTCCGTCTTGATTAATTAGGGGGTGGGGCAATTAAAATTATTCCGGCTCTTATCAAAAGGAAGGCGCAGGGTAGGTATGAGAAGGGATCTTTCAGTTCTATCAAATTCCATTAAATACTTATATTGATTTTTCAGTATCGTATTGGGCAGCTATATATGATAACTAAGCACAGTCATGAACAAAGTGAGAAAGGTGAAGGTGTAGAAGTGGTCAAAAATGAACCTTGTGAAGATACCAATTATGGAACTGGACAGTATACAGAGAAAAGAGTCTATCTGAACAGGCAAGTAAATAGCCAGTTGCGCTGTTGCTTAGATGAAATACAGTTTAATAAAGACATCAAACAATGGGCATTATAGACCTTTATTTATATAGTTTATCTTTTATTATTATTTTTTTTTTGGATATTTTAACACTTCATATAATCACCAATACACAGCATATCCAAAACAGTTGAAAAAACTACAAGATAGAAACCTGTGTGTAATTGTAAGTTTCTTAAGGTGTTGGAGACTTATGGATTTCACTTAAAATATGGATAAAATTAGTAAAAAAAAAAGTGTATGGATTGTAATTTATTCAAAGGTATTTGATATGGTATGCCTTGGTGATTAAGGAAATTTGGTCATGTTTATTTAAAAATTCATTTTATGCTCTATAATGGTTGTAAAGTATGAATTTTTACACTGTATATTGGTTATTATTGCACTTTGAATATTTGAAATAATGTGCCAATAGAAAAAATTATTTCTTTTTTTTTTTTCATAAATGAAAAGGGTAACACATCAAACCACTGTGTTTGGTTTTTTATATAAGAATTAAAACATCGTCTCTGTAGGTAAGCAGCCATGTCAGGTTTCAAATGGCATTTATAGCCTTTATTATTGACACCTTCATACATGACTTATTAACTTCGAAATTCCAAAAGAGATATTTTGTAGATTACTAGTAAATACTTTCCTTGATAAATGCCATTTACAGAAATAAGAATCTGAAAACAGATTTGCAGTTTTCTCTTTGCTTGTGCACTTAAAGTAATTGTTCTGCATCATGTATGAGTAGAATGGAGTGCTAATATCTGCAGGTGATTTTTCTGCATTTCTGTAAATGTCACTTTAAATTTGTCCTTGCATTTATGTGTGTTATTGAATTAGAAAAAGGGATGGATTTCAAACCCAGATACAGAAAATACATCTTAATAAGTGCACTGTATAATTTCGTCTATGCAGTCATTTACTAGTTATCAAATGTGGTTCATTGGTTCATCTTTTTTCCAAAAGCAAAATAAAAAAGATTTGAAGAAGTTTGTTTCGTATATGATGATGTTTTAGAGTAAAATTAGACTATTCTATATTATATTTTATTCTGTATATTATAGAATTAGTTCTGAAACCCGTCTGTTTTCAAATAATTTCCTAAATCTGTAGAGATGTTTATCACCAATGAAGCCCTCAGACTCGAGATTTTCATGAGCCGACTCTAGGTCAAGCTAGTCGTGAATAGAAGATACTTGCTTGACCTTTCTTCAGGTGAATTCCAAATGCACTTACATTGCTCAAAGGATAGTAAACATTGTTGATGATTATCTGTAAGCATTGAGAGTAAATGTGCAATTTTTCATCACCGATTTTCACATTAATGGAGCTTTAATGAATCGTCTGCCTGAGGGTGATTAGTTAAAGGACTGTATACATACAATTAAACTCAAAACCAGCCTCTTAAATGTTGAAACATATTGATTTCTCTGGTAGGGATCTTAATAAGCTAAATCACAGATTAATCCTGTAAATGGAAATATTAGTGCTAGAAGTGTATTGTAATAATGTTCTTATATTTTTTTTTGCTAAAAGCAGTCTAACAGGTACTAATTGATTGTGACGAAACTCGTTTTATAGATTTTTTTACATTTCCCAATAATGGATTCTTGTAAAAGTTTTATGTGATGGCTTAATTCTGGGATGACTGTCTTTATGAATAAATATTCACCTGATTTATACTGTATTGTATATGAATTGGAATTTATAGAAAATGCATACCATCAGTAAAGATTGGCAGATATTTGTGATATTTTGGGTTGAAAGGTTATTTGATTTACCTATTTCAATTATCTGATATTTCTGTCAATAAAATGCCACCTGTCAACAAATTTGACTCCCAGACATGTTTCATTGTCATTGAACTGAGAGCCTATGTATTGAATTGACATTTGTTTCATAATCATAAAAAAATGTATGCAGTGTATATTGAAAAATATTTTGAATGCATTATACCGTTGTATTTTATATTGCAACGTTGTTTCAGGAGGGCCTAGATGTAAATGTGAGAAAAGAGAAATATATCCGCAGGCAGCTTGTAAATTCAGGTTTCCTGGCAGCACACTTCTCATAGTTATCAAAGACAAGTGGAGTGTTCTAAACACCTGTGCTTATTAGAAGTACAAGGGCAGGTTTCCGCCTGCTGAATCTTGCTGTGATAATGTCTTATTGAACAGGATTTTTGGTCTCATACATGTGTAGTTAACAGATTTTATACCCTAGGTAATAGATATATTTGTGTTGTGTATTTTGAGATACCTGTGGGAGGCATTGCAGTGGTGGCAAAAATTTGATGCATATAGAGGTATTACATGTGGGCATTTAGGTTTTACTTGATCTTTATCAAATGTAATTTTTTTTCAATAAGTGAAAACTTCTGAAAAGAATTTTTTTTTGTTAAAAAGTATGATCAAGACCTAACAATTCATACCTTAATTGCAAGTTTTTTCTTTCAGAAAAAAAAGAAAACATTTGAATTCAAATAGCTTTACCAAGGAAAAAGTTCATTTTTCATTATATCTTGTATTTTTCCCTTTCAATTCCAGCCGCCTGCCAAGCTGGGTGCGGGCCCTCATTCCTAATATCTTTTATATCACTGAAAAAGCATGGAATTTCTACCCTTACACCAGGACAGGTAGGTAGTGGAAGCAGTAGAATTATTTTTGTTTCTTTTTAGTGAGGAGGACCCAATAAATTACAGCCTTAACCTTTAGCTCTCAATTGCTTAGGGTACTTTACATTGCTTGTTATCTTTGTAGAGTGAATACTGTTGTGTTCTGCTTGATTTAACAAAAATATGTAAGTTCTAACTCCCAGAAATAGAAATAGTGTTTGTGAACCTCTGTATTTTAACTTCTAAGTCATGCTTTTAAGCATTGGAATATTGATCCCTAACTCATCCCCTGACCACTTAATTTAGGCATTACAGGAAGATTGCAGAGTGTTGCTTCCTGAGCCAAAAAAACTTAAAAATTGCTCATAAATTTTTTTTCACTGTTTTAAAAATGAGATATCTCAGGCTAATAATAACAAAGTTTATACAACCACTGTATACATATTATAAAAAAACACATAAAACTGAAATTGTTTTTATCATCTCTGGTTGAAGAAAGAATTAGCATAAGGCATTAATATGTGATTAGTGGGCAATGACATATAGTTGGTAGTCTACTCAGACATAGGAAGAGACTCATCTGCTAGTTGCACAGACATATTTAATCTGGCATTGTGTTATAAAGAGCCCTGAAATAAGTATAAGAAACTGACTGCATCTCATTAGTTCATATGTTGTAAAAATAGTTTGTTTGTTTTTTGCAAAGCTCATGCACAAGCATATTGAAAGATTCAAAGTGGCTGAAAAGGTTTTCTAAATGGAAGAAAAGAAAATGTTAAATCTTTTTATCGTTGATTTATCAATGTATGTATCATTTATTTGGAAGACTTACTGGATAGCATCACTTTGTGTACAGTATGCATGTGTTTTGAGTTGATAATTTCCTCATTTTTACAATCATTTTAAATAAATGGCTCTGCTGCTTTTTATAAACTGCTTGGAAAGACAAGTAAAATGTGTATCTGTTTGATTACATTGGAGACCAAAATAGCATCAAATCTGCAATATGTTATCTGTGGGAAACCCAAACGAATGGCAACATAGTTTGAACATTGTGTATTTAGGTGTCATAGCAAAGGTGAGCTTTATAAAGGTGCTTTTCCAAAACAAGCCTGTTCCACAAGTTCACATGAAGATACATGATCCCTTATAACTTGGAATTCCAGGAAATTTGATTCCGTGTTGAGTGCGAGAAGAATTTCCTGTTATCTGACAGTATTCAAAGATGGTTGTTTTGATAACAGTTTTGACCCTAGAAATTTCAGCTGATTAATCTCCAAGTATAAGCTTAGAATAAGAATTCATATTATAATAAAGTGGCATACTGAATGAAATGAAAGCAGCAAATTGAACTCGCTTTCTGTCTGCTCTTTGCAATACATTCTAACCCATCTACTAGGTTTTTTTGTGTATGGCCTATCATCTTCACATGAGTGTAATCATTTTTTGGTATCCACATTCAACCACATATTGCAAAATTAATGCAACCCATGAGGCTTCATTAAACAAAGATAGCACAGTATGATCCAAGAGGCCTAAAATGAGGCTTCCTGCACTGCGTGAGATCATATGAGACTAGAAAATGTTTAAAAAAATTTGTGAGTTTGGGCTAACCTTTAAGCCATTAGGGTGAAACTCTATGCAGCAGGAATGTCACCTTACAAAGCATGCAAAAGTTACATGCAAAACATGGATGAGTATGTATTGTTGTGCAAAAGATTGTAATTTCACAGAAATTTAAGGGACCAGTAAGTGAGAATATTTTCCTTATCAGCTTAAATACTGCAGAAAGTAACATTGTCATGTTGAGATAAAGCTGTTGCATCAGAAGTACAGAGAGGTGAATTTGTTAACTCAAGCTGATGGTATAACTGAGGCATTTTTGGTGAAATCTGTATTATTGATTTCAAATATCTCCATAAATACATGTAGAACAGCTCTCAACACTATTTAATGCCTGTTTAATCACAACAATAAGTACTACCAGGAAATTTCTTGTAAGGCTTAAATTTCTTCTGATCTTATCAGTCAATTGTTAAAAAATGCATTTGGAACATAATAACTATGGGCTCACATATCCTAAACAAAAAGTGTTAAAACCAAACACTGGTACCAGAGTCGCCCTAGTCATCTACCATGCCAATTTTATAATAACATCTTACATTGTTTCTGAATAACATTGGGAAACTGATCACTTATCTTAAATCAATTTTGAAAGTAGCAAAACTGACAATTAACGTTTGACCACTCTTTGTGCAGATGCAAATAGGATGGTAAATAAAGCAACAAAAAGGGAGGTTGTGCTCTAAAATCATTTATCTTACTGCTTTGAAATTAAGAGAAGAATTTCACAAAAACGAAATGAGAGGGGGGGGGGGGATTTTGAGAAATTAAGACCTATGAAATGTATCCAATTCACTAAGAAAAAACAACTAGAAAAACATCCATGGGTAAATCACACTGCACTTCTAAGTCCACCATTATTTTTTACCCTTCTCTCCTCCAAATCCCATGAAATCTCACTTGAATATACATAAACCACTACTATTATTTATTTATTTTCATTTGGTCTAGTATTAAAAGAGACCTACCTGGATGTTCTTTTACCTTTAACTGCACTTACGAATATTTTGGTTGACATTATTTATATTTGTGTAACCTTTGAGTTGGAAGTTCAAAAATCTATTGCCCTACCCAAGTCACTTGTCAGGTAAGGTTCACTCCTATGGAATGCACTTTTTATGACGGCCATATTCCCACTAAATTATTATATATGATGATGTATAGGGTAGTATGATAGATACATGTCAAGCAATAATTAGCATTATAAAGTAGTTTATGGGTGGAATTGCATTTAAGTGTCTGCTTCCTGTAGTTATGCAACTTTTCCAAAAAAAAGAAAATAAGAATAATAATAATGATAATAATAATTATTATGAGAATTGTAATTGTAAGTCATCACTCACTTATATAATCCAGTTTTAAAGAAGAGAATATTACAAAAGAACAAGTTCTATGTTATGGTAATAATTCGATCTTTTTAATGGGTAAAAATTATTTTACTTTCAGATACATAATTTTATAATCACAAAAAATGTATTTCTTTATAGCATTTGTGGTGCTTTGACTGCATAGGTTGGAACAGTGCAGTATAGCTAGCCTGCTTCTTAATTTTGTTGCTACCACTCAACAAGAATGTTCTAACTCTAAGAAATTATGACTTAAAAACTGCCCCCCATTGAAAAAATCAAGGAATTACCATTTTTCATACAACAGAACCTTTAGTACATATGGAGGCTGTGGCTTGTAGAAATTCTATGGTTGTGGTTATGAAAGTTGGCATGAGTCGCATGACAATACATATAGCCAGCTGCTATTGAAACACAGATGCTCTGTAGATCTAACGATCTTGTTGATATAGATTGTTACCTTTGCAGACTTACAATAATCATGGTATGGTTGTATTTACTGTGCTATACAGAAGGAAGAGTAAGTCAGGGTGATTGACAACTTTGCTTGTCAAATTCAAGCATATCATCAGTGCAATGGTGGTCATTTGGAACAAGTTCTGTAAAGAATGCACCCTTTGAGTAAGAGACAATGTTTTTTTAAAATTATTATTATATCAGCTTCCAGGACATGTAATCTTGTCTTTGTTTCTTGTTTCAGTAATAGATCGGTAATATATATATATAATGGGTTCCATCTAATTCGAGACACCCTGTACCTGGTTATTGTAGCAGGGTGGCATATTATTTGATCAGTGTATTATTGGTATTGCTCTTTTTCCTGAACGTGAACATTTGGATATTGTTTCCTCTTTACCTACTCTGCATGCAAGTTACATCTGTTTTGTCTGTTTTGCATCTGCAGTTTAATAGTGGCATTCATAAAAAGCATGACTTGTCATGAAATTTGAACATCAATTCAAGCACAGCATTGTGATTTTGCTCAATAATAGATAATGTGAACGTAGTTTGCAGTAGTTTTCCAAAGTCGGACCAATTATACTGCAGCATGAAAAAAAATATATATATATATATATATATATATATATATATATATATATATATATATATATATATATAATTTTTTTTACAATAAATAATTTAACTGATTTACTCTGACTTGGAAAATGAAAACTACTTCATTTCCCTTTTATTGCTGATTTTTGAAAAAAGATCTTGAGTGCCTTTCTGAAAGAAAAGATATGCATGCCAATCCTCATTGTTGGGTATCCATGGTACCCAATTGAGGTTTTGTAATACTAGTGACATTTCTTTAAGGTTGCTGGGGAATTGTGGTCAGGAAGAAATCTCATAGGGATGTGATAATTAGAGATTTGGGTGATGCTTGAGACATTAGAGGGAAAAGCATCAAACTGATTATATTCTCTGCTGGCAGGGGAGGTTTCAAAGAATTGGACACATGTAAAGATTGATGACTTATTTAGTTATATGTGACATGAAGTCACTATCATCCTTTAAAAATTTTTACAGTAGCTTTTAAGGGTGTGTTGTGTCACACATGTGATCAAACCTGTAAGAGGTATAGCTGAAGATGTTATATATCATGTTATATTTCCAATTAAAGCATGTAACATGTTGCAAAGTAAGTTAGCTTACATGACCCAAGTTTATTTTGAAGACGACAGTTTGTGGATATTGAAACAATCGACTGAAGCTAATACAAAGATAATATGCATTTTTGCTTGCAATTAAGAAAAAATGCAATTAAATTTTTTAATTAAAAATTAACATTTAAACATGTCAGTTGTAAAAGTGAGAAATTTGTTAGCATGTGAGTAGGAAAGTGGGAAGATTGTTAACAATGCAAAAACCTCTAAAATGTTGACTCAGCAGCTGATTATTTTGATATTGTATTTTACCTAGTTCCATTATCCGAAACCAGTAAAATGTGCTCAATAATAACTAAAGAAGACTTAGAAATGACCAAAAAATTGCAGTGGGTTATAAATACTGCATGGTTTTCTACAGTTTAATGATGATGATAGGGGAATTAACAACTGCATAATGTGTAAATGCATGCATGCTAGTGACTGTGTCACTCAGGAGTCATAGGTCCCATTCACAACAAAGTTGAACTGCAAACTAACAGATCAGCGCATCATGTATGGCCAACCCACATGAAAGCTTGCCGCATAATTCCTTGTTAGACCCTGGATAGATTCCCAGGAGGATTATGTGGCAATTAAGCTTTCCATTAGGTCGGCCATATTTATGCTATGGATCATCTCTGTTGTGACTGTTCTCAGATATTACTTACACACACATTTCCCATCTTTTTGACACAGATCATTCTGAACACCTTTTTTTACATTACGTGCCACTGGATTTTTTCTTTCCTTTTTGCTACTGGAGCATGTAAATGGACAGAAATATGCACTACCACATTGTCACAACATTGAACCCTTTACATTGTTAGCACTCCATTAAGACTGCATAAAAACCTTAAATTGGATAACCAGTCCATTAAGAGTACTTGCTACAATATTTCTTTTCATGTTTTATTGATTTTTTTTATTGTTTGTCTTGGGAGATGGCAGTAAAAGCATGACAGTGAGAATGTGTTGAAATCATCTGTGGTAAGGCCAGTGTAGGAAAATGAGTCTGGAAGCATGACATGGTTCAATGTGGGCAAAGTTCTGTCTGAATGATGTGAGAGTTTTTTGTCTAAATAAAAGTGGCATCTATACAGCATTATTTTTTAGAACAACTCATTTCAGTATTTAGACTTTGGTGGCTGAATATCAGTAGTAACTTCTTGACTATTATTAAGCCCATTTCAAATTATACAATAATGAACATGAACCATTAATTTTTTGCACACTGCTCTGTGTACAGCTTGTGGCATTTAAGATGCTTACATGGAGTTTCACGACTTTACCCTTAGGGTCCCCAAGTTTGTCCTTAAGATTTCCAATGCAAGCTTTAAAATGTATTTTTAAAGATCTTTTTTCTGTACTGAATATATTAAAACTCAGTGTGTTTTAAAAGTTCAGCAATATGTGGGAAGATAACATGATTACTATTCTAGATGAGATTTTAGGATATTCATAATGGAAGTTAACTTGCTTATGAGCTTTTTATGTTCCTTATCTCAATGGTTTCTGGGAGAAACGTAGCTTATTTTTTAAAGACAATTATTGGTGTTTAGTTTTTATGTACAGACACAGATGTGTCTGTACATATTGCCATCACCTGCGTCTGTCGTCGCCGTCGCCGATGCCGTCGCCGGCGCTGTGCACTTTCCTTGTAAACACGATAAGTGGAAGGCAGTTTCACTTTTTGGCTTTATATTTACAGAGCTGATGAATATTCATAAAACGCAGGTCAAGTTCGAAAATCAGCATGATCGGGCCATTATTGTAGAAGTTATGCTGTTTTTTCACATTTCCTCAGATTTCCTCAGATTTAATTCTTAGGCATGTTAATAGCCTTATTATTTAAGTAATAAGATACGTAAAAGTGTTTGTTTGACATTTCCTGCATCTTTACAACATTGTTAGTTGATTATGTAAAAATGATGGTAAACTTGTTATCGTGTATTGTGTAATAAAGTTTCAAAAATGGAAATAAACTCATATCATTGCAGTTTGTCAGATTCAATCATTCACTATGTT